CGGTGGCTTAAACTCACGCTGGGTGCATGTGCGTGCGTGCCCAAGATCCCAAGAGGAGAATGGAGGAGAAGGGATTGCAGTATGGCTATTCCCCCTGGGGGGTGATTTCTCGCTTTCTGTCTCTATGTCTCTCTCTGTCTGGCGAGCGCACGCGCCCTATAGCAAAAATCTCTCCAAAAAAAAAATAAATAAATAAATTTTTTCTAAAGAGATCTAGTATGTTAGACATTATTTTTGAGAGCTAGATTTTTTTCTTTTGAAAGTATATTGCTAATAAACCTCTAGGTAAAAGTATTTTTTATTGGAACCAGCGGGTGGCATGGTGGTTAAGGCACTGGACACTCCCACATGGCCAGCCATAGTTTGAGTCTTGGACCTAGTGGCTTCCTTTCTCTCTCTCTCTCTCTCTCTCGTCAAAATAAATGAATGAATAAATACAATTAATGAATGAATTAAAAAATTAAATAAATAATTTTAAAAATGATTTTTTCTTAAGATACTAATTTTTTTTTATTGTAGGAAACCACAGCTCTTACTGAAAACCAAGATGAAGACCCACTAGAAGGTAATGTGTGGTTGAAGAGGAAACCTAACCCCGTTTCCAGATCTCTCATTCATTTAGCTTGTTAGAAACTGAGAGATCCCCCTGGGAAATTCCAAGATGAGTTGCCTAAGCCATCCTTTTCAGGAATTTGTTCTGATTTTGGAAGCTGCTTCTGTGGGAATAAATTCCACTGGGCCTCTTCTCTGGGTCTGTTTGAAAGTCCGGGAAATGGAGATGTTCCCAAACAGGAAGAAGAGACTAACTTGTATCTAAGATCATTTTCCTCTGTAAGCTTAGACTTTGAGATTAGTTATATTTTGATTTTGTTGTGTTTTGTGTGTGTGTGTGGTTTTTTTTAGGAGGAAAAGCAGAGGCAATTGCTGTGGCCTTGGCTTCCTAACTTCCCTCAGGGCAGTTGGGTCTGGGACCTGACAGGTTGGCTCTGTACCATCAGATGTCAGTGTTTCCTGTAGGTCTTGACCTGTATTGAAAAGAACAAAGTTTCTCTGTCCAGAAGAACCCAGTTTAGGAATGTCTTATTTTTAAAGAAAGGAGGAAAATGTCTTGCTTTCTTTTTTTTTTTTTTTTTTTTTTCTTCTTTTTTTTTTATTTTTTAAAAAGAAATTTTAAAATGTATTTTTATTTTTTTTTTGAGAAAGACTTTTGCTATAGGGTGTGTGTGCTCACTGGAGAGAAAGAAAGAGAGAAATCACCCCCTAGGGGGATGGCCACACTGCAGTCTTTTCTCCTCCATTCTCCTCTTGGGATTGTGGGCACTCACGCACACGTACCTGGTGTGAGTTTTAAGCTACTGGGTTCAGGGACTCGAACCGTGGTCGACCATGAGTCCAGTGATGTAACCAGATGTACACCATCTGATGGTTCCATGCCTTAGAATAGACAATAGAGGAGAAGTACAGAGAACACTGTTGCCTGTTCCTTATTACATGTCCACGAGATCTCTTTCTCCTCCCTGAACCTGTGTGTACCCCTGCCACTCAAACCTACCCAGTGCTTTTGGGATGTTATCAAAAGAAGGAGTAGTTGTTATCAATCTTTGTAGCCCCAGTGGCTAAAACAGAGTTTGTACGGTACTAGTTCTTGATGTTGAAATGAAATGAAATTGCTGTTGAAAAGAACTCTGTAGGGGCCAGCCCCATGGCCTTGTGGCTGAGGGAGCTGGTTCCCACATGGCTGACCATGCGGTCTGAGTGCTGGACCTGACTGCCTGAATAACACTCTCGGTGCATGCGCACCTGTGTCCAAAAATCCCGAAATGAGGGCTTAGGTAGAAGAAAAGGGATTGCGACATGACTGTGCCCCAGCGGAGGGCATGTTCCCTGCCTCTCTTTCTCTGTCTCTCTGGTAAGCACACATGCCCTTTGGCACATTTTTTAAAAAGAAAGAAATCTTTAAACGTTAGGCAGTCTCTACTTTTTAGTACTTTGGTTTAAATATGACTAAAGAATGAATAGTTGAGCTCTCAAGGGGCTTCCTGGCAGGTTAAAGTGTGAATCTACTCTTCCTGCCTTCAATTATGGAGACAATCTATAGCAACCATAAAGGGAGGGACCAGCAGGGGGTGTGGAGGTTAAGGCGTTGGACTCCCACATGGCTGACTCTGTGGTTCAAGTTCCAGACTTATTGGCTTGAGAATCACACTGGGCAGTGTGTGCATTCCAGAGATTCGGAGAGGAGAACAGAGGGGAAGGATTTGTGGCCATGCCCCCAGAGGGTGACTTCCCACTCTCTCCCTCATTGTTCTCTGTCAAGCACATGCGCCCTATGGCAAAAACAAAAGAAATTTAAAAAATTGGGGCCAGCAGGTGGAGTAGTGCTTACGGTGCTGGTCTCCCACATGGCCGACTGCAGTTTGAATCTTGGATCCAGCAGCTTGAAATTCATACCAGGCACGTGTACATGTGTATACTCAAAATCCCAAGAGGAAAATGGAGGAAAAGGGATTGTGGTGTGGCCATCCCCTTCTGTGGAATGACTTCTTATTAAAAGAAAAAAAAAATGAAGGAAACATACAATAAGAGTGTGCTTGGGCCAGCCCATGGCATGGTGGCGAAGGCTGGCTGCATCCCATATGACCAACTGCACGGTTCCAGTCCTGGACCTGGTGGCTTGGAAAAAACCCTCCGGACACATGAGTGCACATGCCCAAAATTCTAAACAGAGGGAGAGATGAAGGAGAGGGGACCGTGGCATGATGGAGGGTGCTTCCCCTCTCCCCCAAACACCCCTCCACCCTAGTACATGCACTTTCGGGCCAAAAAAAAAAAAAAAACACAAGTCCTTTCTGGATCTAGACTGCCAGGGTTCGAATCCTGCTCACTAGCTCTGTAATTCCAGACTAATCTCCAGTGTCAGTTTTCCCTTCTGTAAAGTGGGACAGTTAATACCCAGCTCATAGGAAGTCCGAGCGTGATGGTCTAAAGTGCTTTAAAGCATCTTTAACAGCTTCCGGCACATAATAACCGCTGCAGTGTCACCACTCATAGATCTGGCCGGCACCATCTGGTAGAGACGTGATGTGAAACACAAGGACATCTACGTAGGCATTTTTATATTGTCTAGTAGCCAAATCAAAGGAAAAACTAAAGAATAGGCGAGGTTAATTTGAATAATGGTGCCGGACCCATCATATTTGTTCTGGACTGAATGTTTAAGTCTACACCAAATTCGTACATTGAAACTAATCCTCCATGTGGTACTTTCTACCAGGATCATGCACCCACAGGCCCTTTAGCGGACAGCTGCCTTTAGCTCTTTTTAATCGATTTGTGATAGCACATGCATGCACCAGAGACAGAGACAGAGACACCCTGGGCAGGGTTCTATCATGTCGTGATCCCCCTTCCGTCGCCCTCTGGCTTGTCAGGATCTTGTTTGCTGCACTCATATGCCTGGCACGTATCAGGTTCCCTGAGCCAGGGGTCTGAACCCATGGTTGGTTAGTACTATTTTTTTATTAAGAGAGATTTTTGCTCTAAGGTACATTCACTTGCCAGAGAGACAGAGAGAGAAAGCCAGAAATTACCCCCCAGGGGGGATGGCCACACCACAATCCCTCCCTCCATTCTCCTCCTGAGATTCTGGGCACTCATGTACACCTGCCCAGCGTGGGTTTCAAGCTGCCAGGTCCCGGACTTGAAATGCAGTCAGCCATGTGGGAGTCCAGCAATTTAACCAAAAGGCCACCCACTGGCCCTGGTTGCTACTTAAAAAAAAAAAAACAAAAAAAAAACGATTTTTGCCATAGGGTGCATGCACTCATCAGAAAAAGAGACAGAGAGAAATGAGAAATCAAGCCCCAGGGCGGATGGCCATGCCATAGTCCCTTCTCCATTCTCCTGGGATCTTGGACATGCACTCACGTGTCCAGCACGGTTCTCAAGCCACCAGGTTCAGGACTCGAACTGCGGTCCGCCATGTTGGAATCCCGGGAAGTCACCACCACAGCACCTGCTGGGCCTCTGAATACTCCTTTTTTAATAGCTTAAGTCTGTATTTTCAAGGCATAGTCAAAAGAAACACAGTTTTCAAAAAAAATAACCTTTAATGCCTGTAGGACTTCCTGCTAATGCTTTTTACCAGCTATCAAATTCTTAGCCATTTCCTATCTGTGTCTTGTAAAATTCCGTTTCTTTTATATGCATTCTTGGCTCATGCAGATCCAAATCTTCACTTGAATATTGAAGAATTAAACAAAGAGTTTATGGCAAAAAGTGAAGAACTCTACAACTCCCTCCTGAGCTGTCACTGGCAGCCTCTGGACACAGTTCACTCTGAAATCCCAGATGAGACTCCAAAGTGAAGAAAGGAGTCCATTAAGCACCCCGGCTCTCTTATTCATTGTGAGATGTTTTCTTTTGGGAATAAAAATCATTCTTCCAGCAATGTCCTAGTTTCTGTATATAAACAATCCAGGGCTTAAATGTGACGGACGTGATAGAACATCGTGTGAGTGACCTTTACGGGCCTGTCCATTCCTGGAAGTGTGTTACATTAAGTGAGTCCCAGAGGAGCTCATCTGACTACAAGACACTGGGAAACGGGTTCACTACGAGATGGGCCTGGGTTGAATCGACTGTGGCATTAGCTGCTCTGATATTTGCCTATTCCTTCTAACATTATACTCTCAGGGCCAGCAGGTGGCGTGGTGGTTAAGGGCGCTGGACTCCCACATGTCAGATCACAGTTCAAGTCCCAGATTTGGCAGCTTGCTTTCTCAATTTCTCTTTCACTCTTCCCCACCCCCAGTCAAATTAAAAATAAATACATAAATAAAGTTAAATAATTCTTTAAAAAAAATAAAAACTCTCAGGCAGAGAAACTATATCTGCAAGCACTGCAAGTTTTCATGCTTACAATTTATATACAAAGTGCAGATTAAAACTAGAGCAGTTAGCGTAATGGCTATGTCGCTGGACTCCCATCTAGTCAACTGTGGTTCGCGTCCCGGACCTCGTGGCTTAAAATTCATGCCAGGCGCATGTGTGTGTGTGCCCAAGAGCCCGAAAGGAGAATGGAGGAGAAAGGATGGTGGCATGGCCATCCCCCCTGGGGGGTGATTTCTCGCTTTCTGTCTCTCTGTCTGTCTCTGTCTGTCTGGCGAGCGCAAGTGCTCTATAGCAAAAACCTCTTTGAAAAAAAAAAAAAAAGTGTTATTTCTGCCCCAGGTAGGAGGCGGGATTCTAGCTTTGGCACTATTGACTTTGAGCTGGATACTTCTTCACTGTAAGGGACTGTCCTAGTTATCATCCCGACCTCTACCATCAGATGCTCTATGACAAAGGACTGAAACCAAAACAGTTTAGCCACTGCGGCTCCATCCAGGGTCTCATACCCTAGCCGTATGTCCCAAGCCTACCTCCTACTCAGGAGGAGGGGGCGGCTTTCCAGAATTGAATTATGGATATGTCAGAATTAAGGGGCCTGCCAGACCCAGGGTAAGAACTCCTTGAACCTCCTGAGATGTATCTGCCACTGTTCTTGGTTCTATCTCTGCTGGAGGATTGCTTCAGTAAGGATCCATTCCTTTTTCTTTTTTTTTTTCAGATGAGACTCCAAAGTGAAGAAAGGAGTCCATTAAGCACCCCGGCTCTCTTATTCATTGTGAGATGTTTTCTTTTGGGAATAAAAATCATTCTTCCAGCAATGTCCTAGTTTCTGTATATAAACAATCCAGGGCTTAAATGTGACGGACGTGATAGAACATCGTGTGAGTGACCTTTACGGGCCTGTCCATTCCTGGAAGTGTGTTACATTAAGTGAGTCCCAGAGGAGCTCATCTGACTACAAGACACTGGGAAACGGGTTCACTACGAGATGGGCCTGGGTTGAATCGACTGTGGCATTAGCTGCTCTGATATTTGCCTATTCCTTCTAACATTATACTCTCAGGGCCAGCAGGTGGCGTGGTGGTTAAGGGCGCTGGACTCCCACATGTCAGATCACAGTTCAAGTCCCAGATTTGGCAGCTTGCTTTCTCAATTTCTCTTTCACTCTTCCCCACCCCCAGTCAAATTAAAAATAAATACATAAATAAAGTTAAATAATTCTTTAAAAAAAATAAAAACTCTCAGGCAGAGAAACTATATCTGCAAGCACTGCAAGTTTTCATGCTTACAATTTATATACAAAGTGCAGATTAAAACTAGATGGTGTAACGGCTATGTTGCTGGACTCCCATGTAGTTGACTGTGGTTCAAGTTCCGGACCTGGTGGCTTAAACTCGTGCTGGGTGCAGGTGAGTGCGTGCCCAAGATCCCGAGAGGAGAATGGAGGAGAAAGGATTGTGGCATGGCCATCCCCCCTGGGGGGTGATTTCTCGCTTTCTGTCTCTCTGTCTGTCTCTGTCTGTCTGGCGAGCGCAAGTGCTCTATAGCAAAAACCTCTTTGAAAAAAAAAAAAAAAGTGTTATTTCTGCCCCAGGTAGGAGGCGGGATTCTAGCTTTGGCACTATTGACTTTGAGCTGGATACTTCTTCACTGTAAGGGACTGTCCTAGTTATCATCCCGACCTCTACCATCAGATGCTCTATGACAAAGGACTGAAACCAAAACAGTTTAGCCACTGCGGCTCCATCCAGGGTCTCATACCCTAGCCGTATGTCCCAAGCCTACCTCCTACTCAGGAGGAGGGGGCGGCTTTCCAGAATTGAATTATGGATATGTCAGAATTAAGGGGCCTGCCAGACCCAGGGTAAGAACTCCTTGAACCTCCTGAGATGTATCTGCCACTGTTCTTGGTTCTATCTCTGCTGGAGGATTGCTTCAGTATAAATCCATTCCTTTTTCTTTTTTTTTTTTTTAATTGCCAAAGGGTAATACACTTGCTAGAGAGAGAGAGAGAGAGAGAGAGAAGGTACCCCCAATGGGGTGTGGTCCCACCACAGTCTCTTCTCCGTTTCTCCACGTTGGGATTTGGGGTACACCTATGCATGCATGATATGTTTTCCAAGCTGCCAGGGCCAGGATGCCAACTGTACTATGAGCCATGTGGTATCCAGCTCCCGGGACCCCTAGGCTACAGGGCTGACCAGAATCCATCCCTTTCTACCTTCTTAGCAAGAGGTGGACCATCGTGGAAAGCCTACACCACTTCCAGTAGACGGAAGGAAAACTCTTGTTCTATGCTTGCCTTGTTTACCCAGAGCCCAGTTGAACAGGAGGAAACAGGCCAAAGGAACTAATTCTGCAGAAATCGGAGAAGTGGCAGGACGGGCTGGGCACCTTTACTTTCGATGTCAAAGCACCAGTGTTTTGGTGATTTTTTTCCCTTTGTAATAAAGAAAACAAAAACAAGTGGTTATCAATCTGAACAGGAAGCCCGAGGCATAGGAAGTGTAGTGAAAGTCTGTCTGAGCTAAGCAGCGAGGACAATATTCAGGTGCTACTAAAAGATTCTGACTGCCTAGAATGGGTGAAAGAGTACCAAGAAGGCAGGAGGAGAGTTGTCAGGGATTCATACTGGTCCATTTAAGGGAACTCGGCCATGGGACCTGCAGGGGGCGTAGTGGTTAAGGCGCTAGTCTGCCACATGGCCAACCACAATTTGAGTCCGTGGCTTGAAACTCACGCTAGGTGCGTGTACGTGCGTGCCCAAAATCCCAGGAGAATGAAGGAGAAGGGATTGCAGCATGGCCATCCCCCGTGGGGTGATTTCTCGCTTTCTATTTCTCTCTTTTCCTCTGTCCAGCAAAGTCACGTGCCCTATAGCAAAAATCTCTTAAAAAATAAAAGAAAAAGATCGCTCAGGGAGCTGAGCGATTCTTATTTATTCATGAATCCAGGAGCGTTGCGATGAAGGGAGGGTGGGAGACACATTGTCAATGTATCATCAGTTTGTTTACTATAAACTAAAACATGTCTTTAAACAGTTCCCCTAGACGTGGGTGCTGTTCGTTTACTATAAACTCCAGCTAAAACATGTCTTTGGGGCAGTGATGGCGTGGGGCCTGACCAAGCCCTCCCTGTTCATGCCTCTCGGGCCAGACAAGTTCCAGCAGACCCTGTGTCTCCACACTATTCTGAATGCTTTAATTTTGCTGGATGTATGAAGAATTAGGTCATGGGACCAGCAGATGGTGTAATGGTTACGTTGCTGGACTCCAATGTAGGTGACCATGGTTTGAGACCCAGACTGGGCGACTTAAAACTCACACAGGACACGTGTGCGTGCGTGCCCAAAATCTCAAGAGTAGGATGGAGGAGAAGGGATTGCAGCATGGCCATCCTTCCTAGGGGGTGATTTATCGCTTTCTGTCTCTCTGTCTCTCTGGCAAGCGCACATGGCCTATGACAAAATTCTCTAAAAAATAATAATTTGAAATCTAAACCTCCTCTTTGTTACTCATTTTTCCCTGGATATCTCCTATGTATGTGTAAATGGGAATACATGCTGATAAACTTGTACTTTTCTCTTCTTATTTATTTATTTATTTTTAATTTGCCATAGGGCATGTGTCTGGAGAGAGACAGAGAGAAAAAGTGAGAAATCACCCTCCACAGTAGCTGACCATGCTGCAATCCCTTCTCCCTTCTCCTCTTGGAGTTTTGGACATACACACACATGTGCCTGACATGTTTTTCTAGCTACCAGATCTGGGACTCGAACTGCTGAGCTGGCTATGTGGGATCCAGCTGCCTTAACCACCATGCCACCCGGCTAGCCCATATCCATCTTTCATTACAAGGGCCCTACTAAAAGCTACGAAGAGTAAAGAAAAAATGATTCTTCTTTCCCTTTAGAACTAACTGTTAGATGACCCCAGCCCCAGATCTCACTGGTGAGATCTGCAGAGGAGCCCCCAGGGAGCCTGGCCGGGGGTTGCAGATCCTGTTTAAGATACCTCCAAAACAATTCCACTGGGATTTGGCAGTAAAATGAAGAGGGCACAGAAACAAATCAGCGGAACAAAAATTTGAATTCAGTGAAGCAAATATTTGTTGTTAAAGAAGCGACCACGAATCCATGCTTTCTAAGCATGTTGACTGTGAAGAAATAGCCAGCTTATTTCACTTATTTCACCTTCTGTGTAAATAAAAAGGAAACTATGATTTTAACATGTGTCTCTCTGAAATTAGGACAGGGGTCTCCCGGATGAAAAGGGATTGTGGCAGCTGGACCATGCTCCACTGAGGGGTGCTTTTCCCCCCTCTCTCTCTCTCTCTATCGCTCTTGACACATCTTCTGACTTACTAAAAAAAAGAAAGAAAAGAGAAAAAGAAAAAAGAAAATATCTATAAGGAAAGACACATATTCCAAAATGAGACTTAACTGGATTTTTTTATGGCCGATATTTTGTACTGTTCTATTTGAAATAGCTCCTACCTTTGGGACAAAAGGCAGTTTGGATCTACTTAGATTTCACTGTGATTTCGAGTTCT